AAACTGTCTTCCATGAAATTTAGGGACTGGGCCACACAGCAGGGAGTGAGCAGCGGGTGAGCAAAGCTTCATCTGTATTTACAGCCCCCTCATCCCCCAACTCACCCCCAGTCTGTAGAAAAACTGTCTTCATGAAACTGGTCCCAGGTGCCAAAAAGGTTGGGGACTACTGTCTTATGACCATAAGAAGCCATAAAAATGTTAAAAGGATACCCAGAATATGAATGTACTTAATGCTAGTGCATTAATGCTGTGAATTTAGAAATAGTTAAAATGGTATATTTTTTGTTATATATTTTACCACAATAAAAAGAAATGCTACCAAGAAGAAAAAATACAAATAAGCTAAAATTATCCACATAATTTGTGTATATGTATATATAGGAAAGCAAGAAAAATCCCCAGAAAACATAGGGCTGGTAGGTCCAGAGTAGTGGGTGTGCTTTTTACTGGGGCATCTTTGTTAAAATTAATTAAAATTCATTATTAAAATTCATTATTAAAAGGATTGATGACTTAATTATTTTACACACTCTTCTGACAGATCGCATCGTGGTGGGGAGGCTGCAGTGCTGCATTTGGCCAGCAAATAAGGAATATTTTACCTGCTTAAGTCTCCACCATAGAATAACTTGCCCTTCTTAAATGGCCAGAGATGGAGCATTCACTCCACTGGGGGCGGCACACAAAGAGTGGGCCGTCCTGCTGGTCTGTGCAGGAGGCGACACCCTTCCGCGTGCTGTATGGAGGCCGCACGCGCCCCCGCTTATGATACACACTCAGAACTCCTCGCCCAGGCTTCTGCTCTGGCTGGCCCTGGCTGGCCTCAGGGGACAGAGGGGGCCTCAGACAGCACCCCCTCCACTGAGGCTACACCCCACCCAGAAGAGCGCTTCCTCGTGCTGTCACAAACATTCCACAGCCAGCACACGTCAGAAAGTGAGACTCCCATGGAATTCCAGGGCTCTTCTAGGAGCTTTGTGTTTGGGAATCTCAGATCCACATGGGAATGCATTGCAAACTAAGGGACATTCTCCCCAGGGAAATGCACCCACATGTGAAAGCATGCACACAATCTCCAAGAATTCTCAAACTCCCCTCAAAGGCTCCTACCTATCAGCTATTAGAGAAAAAAGAAACAGAAAGAACCTACGATCCTGCCCTGACTGAGACACCACTCTTGTCAGCATTTGGTGTACACCCTCAGACTTTTTCTTTGTGCGTAGACATTGTTGGCATTACTTTTGGCAAAAATGGAATTGTGCCACATATGATATCTTGCAACCTGCCACTTTCAGCTAGCAACGGTTTGCTGTCACAGGCATCCTGAGCAAAACTGCCCCCAAAATACACATGCTAGAGTCCTGACCTCAGGACCTCAGGATGCAGCAACCTGATTTGCAGACAGGGTCTTCACAGGGGTGGTCATTAGGGTGGCCCTCATTCAGCATGGCTGGTATCCCTGTAAACTCGGGGACTTTGGACACAGAGACAGACCGAGGGGACGCCACCGAGGATGAAAGATGCAAGTTGAGGAACACTCGTGCTGCTGGCAACCCCCAGGGGGTTGCTGGGACATGGAACCAATTCTCCCTCCAGCCCCCAGAGGAGCCACCCTGCCAACACCTTGATCTCAGACCTCCAGGAAGAACACATTTCTGTTGGTTAAGCCACCAGTCCGTGGTTCAGTCATCTCTCAACACCCATGGGGCAGGGGTTCCAGGATCCCTGAGGACACCAAGATCCAGGAAGTACCCCTACCTCAGTCCTTGACACCTGCCACAGCCTCCCTGTTGGTCTCCCTGTTTCTCTTCTATGGCTTGGACACCTCCCCACTGGGGTCCCCAGCTGCCTTCCAGAGGTCCCTACATGTGGGCCCACAGAACCCAGAGTTCACACTCATCTGCCCCCAACAAGCTGCCTTCACCTGGGTCCTCCTTGTCTCCCAGGCCAGAAGCCAGGCATCACCCCTGACCTGCAATCCCCCCAAGCCCTTGCCACTGCTAAGCCCTGCCTGCTGGGGCCCTGGTGGCCCTGACCTCACCACCACTGCCCCAAATCCCACAGCTTCTCTATCTCAGCCCCACTGAGACCTGGAGGCCAGAGAACACCTTGTTGTGGGGCTGTCTTGCACATTGCAGGGTGTTTAGCAGCACTCCTGGCTTCTGCCCACTAGGTGACAATGAAATGACAAAACCCACTGCCAAGGTAACAACAAAAAAATGCCTTCAGCCATTGCCAAATGTCCCCAGCTGAGAGTAGTGGCTCTGTCCTCACTCAGCTGCCTCCACTGGAGTCTGGCCTGGACTCCTCCTCAGGCCTCCCTCTGGACCCCTGGCCTCCAGCCCCGCCAACACCTCCTGTCCCATGAGACCGGTCACCTGGCTGGGGGTCACTAGTGAACAAACTCATCAGTAACTCCAGGTCTAACGAAGTTATGGTTTGAGACGGCGAAGGATGTATCATCACCTGCCTGGCTCCCCCTCTTCAACCTGCAGGAGACCAACGCCTCCTGTCCCCACGCCCCAGTTCCTCCCTCACATGCCTAGGACTAGAACCCCTCGCTGGACCTTCTCTGCTAAACAACCGCTTCACAAGTAACCAAGGAAAGATGGATTGAGGTCACATGATCATGTTCACCTATCAGTTGCAGAAAGAAAAAATGTTTTAAATGAAAACATCCAAAGCTGGCTGGGGCGGGTCAACTGACGGTCACATCCCTGCCAGTGGGACGTACACTGATGCCACATTCCAGAAAGCTCTTGGATAATGAGTTACTTTCACCCAGTAATTCCATTTCTGAAAGGCCATCCTAAACAAGCAATACTACATACAGAAAAAAAATCTATGGACAAATATGTTAATAAGGCATAATTTTCAATGTTAAAAAAATGGAAACAACTCAATTGTCCACACGAGGGAAAGGTTGAGAAAACTTTAGTGTCCTTCTCAACAGAAGAGTATGCAGTCACTTAAAATGAGGTCTATGAATTGATGGGCACTTGGGTTGTTTCCACAGCTTTGCAATTGTGAATTGCGTGGATTAATAAAATGTGGTATATGTATACCATGGAGTACTACTCAGCTTTAAGAAACAATGGTGAGATAGCACCGCTTGTATATTCGTGGATAGAGCTGGAACCCATTCTACTAAGTAAAGTATCTCAAGAATGGAAAAACAAACACCACATGTACTCACCAGCAAATTGGTATTAACGGATCAACACCTAAGTGGACATATAGGAGTAACATTTATCGGGTGTCAGGAGGGTAGGAGGGGAGTGGAGGGGATGGGTATATACCACCACAACGAGTAAGATGTGCAACGTTTGGGGGATGGACACACTTGAAGCTCTTACTCAAGGGGGGAGGGGAGCATGGGCAATATATGTAACCTTAACACTTGTACCCCCATAATATGCTAAAATAAAAATAAAATAAAATCAGTTTCTTCTGCCAAAAAAAATTAAAAAATAAAATAAAATGAGGTCTATGAAGAGTATATAATAAATGAAAAATACAAAGTATAAAACTGCATCTATAATATGACTAAATCTATGTTTTTAAAAAATACAACATCTAAGGAGGAAATGAGTGGACAGGACTGCAGGGCATTTTTTTCTCTCTTCTTTCCACCTCTGAACTTTTCAAATTTTCTTGAAAGGCATACATGACTTTAAAATGTTTGTTAAAGGATTGTTTGGGGTATTTTTTTTTGTTTGTTTTTTGGGGGTTTTTTTTGAGACACAGTCTCACTCTGTTGTCCAGGCTAGAGTGCCGTGGCATCAGTCTAGCTCACAGTAACCTCAAACTCCTGGGCTCAAGCGATCCTCCTGCCTTAGCCTCCCAGGTAGCTGGGACTACAGGCACACGCTACCGTGCCCAGCTAATTTTTTCTATTTTTAGTTGTTTGGCTAATTTCTTTCTATTTATAATAGAGACAGGGTCTCACTCTTGCTCAGATTGGTCTCGAACTCCTGAGCTCAAGCAATCCTCCCGCCTCAGCTTCCCAGAGTGCTAGGATTACAGGCGTGAGCCACCGCACCCGGCCTAAAGGATTGTGTTAAAGGGAAGAAATAAATACATTCCCTGGGTTAGGGCTATGTGATCCCAGCAGACTCCTGTCAAAAGCATGAACACCACTGGATGGGCACCCCTGGCTCGCAGGTGCTTAAAGGAAACCTTAGCCTAAACTGGGCTTCCCTTGGCCCTACTCAGTCCCCGTGGGAGACTGAGACAGGGACAGTTAAGTTGTGATAAATGGACCAAGAGGAGAAACCTTAGATGGTCCCAGAGAGAGTTTAGGGTAGGGAGCCAGAATAAATACCATAGGGGCCAGCCCTCAGGGTGGGGGGAATGCAGGGTGGGTGTCGGGCAGCTCACGTCCCCACCTCCTACTCCCCAGCCACACCCTTCTAGGGGAAGAACCCAGATGCAGGAGGCCAGAGGGGGTGGCAGGCAGCACTCACAGAGGGATGAGCTATGGGGGTCCCTCCCCAAGACACAGTCAGGCAGGCCTGCAATTCCCCCCACCCAAGTCCGAGGGGCATTTTCCTCTACCAATGGTTGCAAAGTCTCAGAGACTCGGATCTGCACATACTCTGACCTCAAATGTCCCACACCACCCTAGAGATCTGTTATCCCAAGTGCCGATCGACCTGGTCCCTACCTCTGTGCTCTCAGTTGGGAGCTGTCAGAGAAGCTACCATTTAACAGCCAGGCCTAGAAACCTGATGCCTCCCACAAGACTCCTGAAGGCCCTGAACCCTCTGGAAGAAGACAGGGCAATTCCACAGTGTGGAAGATCGTGCCAGGAGGTGAGTCCTGGAGATCCAACGAGGCAGGGGCAGCCCCAGTCAGCTCCTCTCCCTTCTCTTCTGGAAAGATCTGCAGCACAGCATCCCCTCGGGCACCCAACCTTCTTCTGGAGAATGGAACACAGTAGGGAGGCTTCACAGGACACCTGCTAAGGGACACCCCCAGCAGGGGAAGCCACTGACCTTCTCCAGCTTCTCAAAGTGCTCCCGGAGGAACTTCATGGGGCGGTCGGGCTTACAGATGCAGAGATGCATGATGCAGTCTTTGAGCACCTGCTGGATGCAGTGCTTCTGAACATACAGCTCACACGCCATCACACTCTCCTCATCTTCTGAGGGCCCACAGGGTGGAGAGGCCATGGTGGAGGTGTCTTCTTCTTCCCTGTTGAGGAAAACCCAAATCACCTTGGGACGGGCTGGGGGAGCTGAGGCTGCTCCTTCAGCTTCATAAATATGCACGTGGCGTAGAATAAGGTTTATGGTTTGTGCTCATATCCAATGAATAGGGCCACATAGCAACAGCAGTTTATTTTGCATTTGTCGAAGATCTTTCATTTTGCGGGGCCAGGTGAACTGTTAAATACCACCGCCCCAACGGCCTTACCTCCACTCAGGTTCCTCAGAAGGCAGGGCGTCCTCAGGAGGGAGAGGGTCCGGGCCAGACCCCCAGATCCCTGACTCGGGAGACATGGTGGGAAAGGGGCTTTCCCCCAGAGTGCTACTGGGTCGTGCTTTTATCCCCCCTTTTTAGGGACACTTGTGTGAAATGTAGATGTTGTCACCAGAGCCCCAGCTGGAGGAACCCCCACGGGCGCTGGGGGGTGAGGGGCAGGAGAGGGGCTGCTGTTAGGGGAGGGGGCAGGGGCGGGGTGGGGCTGCTTTACAGGAAAAGAGGGGAAAAAAGGAAAACAACGGAAACCTCCTCACGAATGGAACATGGAGAACAATGAGGTGGCGCGTTCTCAGCGCCGCGGGAGCGGAGTCACAATGCCCAGGCCCGGGAGGACGCCCCCGCCCCAGACCTCGCGCCTCGGCGCTGGCCTCTGCGCCCGGGGACCCTCCCCGGCCTTGACAGGGGCGCCAGGGTTTGCGGGGAGCAGGGAGACCCTCTCTGGCCTTGACTGGGGCGCCAGGGTTTGCGGGAGACGGGCGGGGACCCTCCCCGGGCCGGTGGACGCCAGCGGTTCCACCTCGGACGCCTTGCCCTAAGGGGTCCGAGCACCTCCCAATCGCCCGCGTTCCTGGTGGGCCTCCCAGGCCCCCGCGAGGCCCAGCTCGGGACAGGGCCGGGGTCCCGGCGCAGACCCCACCCCAGACCGCGTACCTGGATGCGCGGCGCCCGAGACCCGGAGGCGGCTGCGCGGGGACGCGGGGACGCGGGAACGCGGGGACGGCGGGCGAGCCGAGCCGGGTCCCCGCACTGCAGCGGCGCCGCCCTCCGCGCCCGCCCCCGCGCCGCAGGCCCGCAGGCTGCACCCCCCAGTCGACCTCTGGCACCCGGCCTGTCCCCCATCTCCCCACCGACCGACTTCCCCCGCCCCTAACCGCAGCCTTCTCCCCAGCCCCCTCCCCCGCCCTCTGCTGAGCCTCCCCACCCCCACCCTGGGCCTGGACAGGGCCCACAGATTGATTGTAGGGCAGCATGGCTAGGACCACCCCACCGCCCCTCACCCCCACTCACACCTCCACTCAGACCTTGCTATCACCCACCCTGGCTATGGCTAGGGCGCTCCCCTGCACCCCCAATATGCTCTGTCTGAACTGGGGGTTGGCATCCATGTGTCTACACCACACATGCTCCAGCAAGCACACCATTCTCTGGGGTCTCTCTGACTCAAGGTCCAGAAGGGGGTGGCCAGGTGAGCCCAGGCCACCCCGTGAATCAGCCCATTTCCTTTCCTTGGTTAAGGGCACCCACTTCACCTGGATGCCCCAGTGGGAAACCGTAGGGCTAAATTATTTCCTGCCAGCCCTGGGTGTCCCCTCCCTGGGACTTCCTAATCCACTAACGCAAGCCTGCAGGCAGGAGAATGACTTCAGCTCCCTTTCCTAGAGGGTCTGGGTACCAGGAGAGGATGGGGGGCTCATGCCATGAAGGAGAGAACATCTGCTGCCCTGTCTCCAGTCACCTGTCCACACTTCTCTGTCCTAATCGTCTGTCCACACTCACCTGTCAGCTTCCCTGTTCCATGCTCACCTGTCCCCCAGTCACCTATTCATACTCACCTGTCCCCTCCCAACCTGTTCCTCCACTCACCTTCTCATGCTAACCTATTCACCCACTCACACATCCACACATACCCAGCCACATTCACCTGTCTTCTCTGTACAGCTTCCCTGTCCTGTGCTCACCTGTCCACACTTAACTACTTGTCACCCATTCACCTGTCCACACTCACCTGTTCACCAAGATGCTCCATAGGCCACCAGCCCCGCCCAGCATGTTCCCCCACAGAGCTGACATTGCCGAGGTCCTTCCTGCCAGGCTGAAGGTAAATTGAACAGGCCCAACAAGAAACCCCCCTACTTCCCCACGCCCCACCTTAGCGTGCCTCTTGACCCTGCCCATGCCATGCGCAGACGAATGCTTGTTCTGGACCTTTTTCAGGAATTTGAGTCCAGTTTCCCCTGAACCAACATGTCCATCCCACAACCAATGGACCCTTTGGCGGTCTCTCTGTTGGCCCTGCCTGGAACTACTGCAGACCCTCCTCTTTCTCCTCCAGTTACTCTGGCTTCTCCAGGGTGGCCTAGTGACAAGGGTAACAGAAAAAGGCCAGTGGTCTGGCTGGTGGTGGTCTGGCTTTGGGGGCAGCCACTCCAAGGCTGGCTTTTCTCTCATGGGACCCTCCTGGGCCTCCCCTGGGAAGAGACAGGGGGGAGGGGACCCTTTCCAGCTGACCTTGCAGGACAGCCCTCCAACCCTGAGGCACCCCCACACACAGCCCTCGCTCTGCTGGGATGCAGCAGAGAGTCCCCTTGGACCGTGTCCTTGTGAGACAAGGGCCCCCCAGGTCCAGGGCTGGCTGTCAGCAGGTGCTCCCAGCTCCCCCTCATTCAGTTGTGGCTTCTGCTGAGACCCTCCTCTACCCACCACCATGATGCACCTCCTGCTGATCTCTCATCTTCAGACTTTCAGGCCACTAAGGTCCCTATTTCAGTGGTCCCCAACCCCAGGGGCCACCAGCCAGTGCCTCCTAAGAGCTTTCCCCCCAGTCCTGCTCTTATAGCAGTACAAGGCAGGGCCCCCATTGCCCAGCCTGTGGATGGGCCACTCTCTGGCTGCCCCCTGACTGACTTGAGCCAAGGGCAGACCCTCCCAAATATCCTGCTCACTGCTCAGTCCCAGAGGGCAAAATCAGCCCACAGAAACAGGCAGAGAATTACAGAGACACGGAGCTAGGGCCATGGTTGAACCATACCCGGAGCTCAGCCTGCAGCTGGACTTTCCAACTATGATAACCCACAAGTACCTTTTATTTTCCCCCAAAGAAATGACTTTACATAGACAAAGAAAGAGCAGAGACCTCTCTGGCACTGCCAGTCAGCAGGCCCCCTCCAGCCTGCACCATTTACAAATGGTGATGAGTCCTGATGAGTAGTGAGGCCTGAGCCCTGGCAGCCTCCATGCGCAGTGTCTGAGTTGGCCAGAACAGAAAGTTGCTCAGGAGAAAGAAAAGCCTGAAGTCCTGGGTTGCCCACAAGTTCCTTTTATTGCCCAAGCCGGTTGGCTTATTGCTTCTTGTTGATAGCAACTGAGAACATCCAAGGGGACACACCGCCAATCTGACCCACACAGCCCTCCTCAGCAAGACCCCTCCAGCAAGGCCCCAGGTCAGACAGAGAGGGGTATGGTAAGCTTGGTCATCAAACTGTGTAGACCACCAACAGTAGGCCACCACCCTGCTAGGAGGTGACACATTCTGGCTTTGATATGGTGTCTGAGCAGCTACTTCCTTCTGAAATACGCAGCTGGTGACTGCCTATCTGTTCAAAACCCCAGTAAATTGCCTGCCTGAGAATGAGTGAGGAGGACCTTTCCTCGTGCCCGGGCCCTTCCTTCCCCGGCAGAGGTATTTACACGTCCCAGCTCTGTAAGTCACTTCACCCTGGACCTGACTGCAGGACTCATCCGGTGACAGATGTGCGCACAGTGACCAAGCCTTGCAACAATCCAACCTCAAAGCCACACTGTCTCCCCAGTCACCCCTGGTCCCCAAACTCTGCTTTGCCAACTCCTTATCCTTTAAGATTCGGCTGAAATGTCACTTCTGCAGGAAGTTCCCTAAGGCACCCCCCACAGCCTCTGAAGGGCCCCAGGGTCCCCCGTAAGTCTGGGTCATCACAGTGCAAGTGAGTAGTTCTGTGGAAGGCCCTGGCTTCCTTTCTGCCTCCCTGCTATGTTGAGAGCGCCATGTGTGAGCGGATAGCATTTGCCCTATTTATTCATTCTGCATGGCAAAGAGACAAACACGGATATTTTCTAGGGTACAGAAAGGGCAAAAAGGATTATTGGTTAAGCCGCTCTGTCCTCTGGAGAGGATGCAGAGTATCGTGGCTTGAGGTGGGCTCTGCAGGTGGACTTCCCGGTGTGGACCGGGAGTTTGCCCCACGCAGCTGTGGTCACCCAGGCAGCATTCGGAAGCTCCCTGAGCTGGAGCATGGAGGAGATGCTGTGCGTGCCAACGGCCACTGGGAGAGGCCATTAAATCCTTAGATCTCAGTGGGTAATGTGAGGAACTGAGGGGGCGAGAGGCTGAGCATGAGCACAAGGCACACAGAGGAGCTCTGTAGCTGAGAACAGTAACCAAGTCCTCTCCTCAGGGGTGACCTGAGTCCAGGGGTGACCTGAGTGGATACCTTCCTGCCCTGCTGGGATGCAGAAGGTGCAGCTGCAGAGCAGGGGGACAGAGGGCTGAGGATGGAAGCACACAGGTGGGAGGCAGGAGAGAGAGATGGTTCTGAGCAATCTGGCACCAGCATGGGGCTTCTGGGGCTTCTGCAAGGGACATGCCTCCGTTAGAGGTTGCCCCGAGGGGAGGGAGCAGGACTTTGTAGGAATAGTGTTCTCTAATATTTAAGGTTTAAATTGCTCATGGTGCAGGTCTGGGATCCAAAATTTCACACAAAATTTCCCCACGGAATTTCTAGGAAGTCTGCTCTGCACGGGACTCCCTGGCGTGGTGGACAGATGCTACAATGGCCACGGGCTCCCTACCTCTTTCCCCACGTCCCAGCACTCACAACTGTGGGGTCCTCTCCCCTTCAGTGTGGAGAGGACCTGAGACCTGCCCCTCTCCACGCAGCACAGCCAAGGTGGTGGTGACCACCACACACGCTCTCTGTGGCTGCGTTGCATTGTTGGCCTTGCTGGGGCCTGTCTCCCCCGCCAGGCTTGAAGAAGCCGCCGTGTGAGCCGCTGTGGGAGGACCCCACAGCCGTGAGCCAGGGGCAGCCTCCAGCCTCCGGCCTGGGAGGAAGTGAACACTGCAAACAACCACATGCACCTGAGAGTAGGCCCTTCCCTGCTCACGCCGCAGGTGAACACCCAGGCCTGGCACCCATGTTAGCTTTCAGAGCCATGCCTGGACTCCCAGCCCACAGAGACCGTCAGGTAGTAAGTGTGTGTTGTCCTCAGTCACCAAGTCTGTGGTAATTTGCTATGGAGCAATAGATAACGAATGCAAGGGGGAAATCAAGGAAAAGCAGCCCAGTTTTATGTCTGGGTTGGTGCAAGGCAAGAAGAAAACAGCTGCAGGAGAAAGCAGAAGATATTGAGCAATACCATGTATGAAAATATAAGGACAAAAGAATTAAAATAGTATGAATCTGACATATGAATGAACAAACATACTAAGGGAACAGAACAAAGAATTCAGAAATAAACCCAAATATTTACAAGAATTTCGTATGTGATAAAGGTGACATTGGCAATTAGTGGGAAAAGAACAATTTAAGAAATAATTTGGAGATAACTAGAAAGCCAACTGGAGAAAAATGAAGTTTGATTTTTATGTCACTTGTTATATGGATAAATTTCAGATGAATTGAAGACTCAAATATAAATATCAAAAATACAAAAGTAATAGAAGTTGGAAAAATGTATCATTTTGGAGTAGAAGGACTTTCTAAACATAATGCAAAATCTGGGAGGCTTAAATGTAAATATTGCCAAACCTGACAATATAAAAATTAAACTTTTCTATACAAACAAATACATTCAAAAGACAAAACAAAAAATACATTTATTATAATACTTATCACAAGGGTTAATTTCCTTAGCATGAAGATATCTGACTTCACTCAAAATGAGAACAATGCAAATTAAATCTACACAGAGATACTATTTTTTACCTATTGGGTGGGGAATAACCAAGAATCTGATACTATTGTTGTGTTAAGGGTGTGGGAGACAGGTGTTCATACGTTACGAGAATCTAAATTGCTACCACCTCCACAGAGATTGGTTTAGAAAGTTTCAATTGAAAATGTAAATGTACGGCTGATATGTCCTGGAAATTCCACTTTGGTAGATTTACCAATATTTTATCAATAATTTACCAGTACTGCAGTGACTATACTTGTTCATATGTTTTTCTACATGTGGGAAAATGTATCTGTGTATTTTATGCATTCCCATGTGCATAAAAATGCATAAAACAATAGAACATTCAGGGAAAAACGAAATGCTCATCAGTAAGGGTCTGATGAAGAGTATCATGGCATGTCCTAATGATGGAATATTATGCAGCTGGTAAAGGGGATGAGGCAGCTCTGTGTGAACTGACATTAAAGGATCTCCAAGGTATGTTCTTTAGTGAGAAAAAAATGTGGTGTGAAACTATGTATACTGTGCTACCATTTAAGAAGTGAAATTACACACTAGTGTATGTTTATTTCACCTAAGAATCTCTCTAGAAGGGCACTTTGGAACTAAGGACAGAGCTTGCCCCTGGGTGGGGAATTGTATGTCTGAGAAAGAGAAGGAGATTTACTGTTTCCTATGTCCTTGGGTATGTTTTGAATTTTATGCTGTATGTACATATTACCTATTCAAAAATAAACTTTTTTTTTTTTTTTTTTTTTGAGACAGAGTCTCCCTTTGTTGTCCAGGCTAGAGTGAGTGCCATGGCGTCAGCCTAGCTCACAGCAACCTCAAACTCCTGGGCTCGAGCGATCCTTCTGCCTCAGCCTCCCGAGTAGCTGGGACTACAGGCATGCGCCACCATGCCCGGCTAATTTTTTATATATATATCAATTGGCCAATTAATTTCTTTCTATTTATAGTACAGACGGGGTCTCGCTCTTGCTCAGGCTGGTTTTGAACTCCTGACCTTGAGCAATCCGCCCGCCTCGGCCTCCCAAGAGCTAGGATTACAGGCGTGAGCCACAGCGCCTGGCCCAAAAATAAACTTTTTATATTAAAATGTTTAAATCTTCCTGGTAAAGAGGGAGAATTTAAAACATCCATTATTTTCACTTCCTCCTGAAAGTGCACTAAAACCACAATTAAGGCATTTTGTTTTAAAAAGCATGAACCCCAGGACAATTTTGGAAATCTGACAGTGGATGGGGGTAGCCATTGACCTACAGAACTGAGAAGATGAGCTCTAAGCCAGCAGTGTGGAAAGTTAAGAAGAGCCCAATTTCTAGCCTAGAAGCCTCCAAAGTCTCAGGAATTAGTTTTACTAGATGCCCTAGAAATGTAAGCGAGAGGGTGCAGGGAGGCAGGGCTGGCTCCAGGCCCCAGGCAAACATCCCTGTCCTGCTTCAGCACAGCACTGCGATCCATCCTCTACATAGTGAGACAGCTGTCTCTGGACTGGAGGGCACAGTCCCAGGAAGGAGGGAGAACCACACCTGCAGCAGGTGTGTAGTGAACTTGGGACATTGGACAGAGACCCAGCCCTGTGCCCCCAATGGTTCCCAGGGCATGCAGACCCTTCTCTGGAGAGCCCAACCTCAGATGCTGGCAGAGGGGTGTCGGGTCTGCACAGACTGGCCAGCTCACCCGGCAGCTAAGCTGAAGTGGGACAGCTTCCCCACCAGCTCTGAGGCCAGCTGAGCTCCTGCTGCCAGCCTGTGAGGATGTGGCTGAGATAAAACTCAGGCTTCTGCCTGGTTCCCTCCTGCTCTTGTGGGGAGGAAGCCCAGCTTGGCCCACGTGGAGAGGAGCCAGGCTCCCAGCAACCGTCAGCGTTGACAGCTAGACACATGCGTGGCCAGCGTCCAGGCGCCTCCAGCCCCCACTTCAGTCCAGGCCTGTCCACCGTGGATAGAGACGAGCCCCCTGACCCATGGAATCTGTGGACTTAATAAATGCCATTGTTTGCTGCCACCGTGTTTTGGGGTGATTCATTCGGCAGTGTCACATAACAGGAACCCATGTCCAGATCACTGTGCCCCAAGCTAGATGCTTGCTTTCCTCTGCAGCCTGGTCCCCTTCCAGTGTTTTCCATCTCTGCGAGAGATGCCTCCATCTGTCCAGTGGCCCGAGCCAGAGCCCTGCGGGTCCTCCTGACATCTGCCTCCCTCTAGCTCCTCGTCTGTGGCCAAGTCCTGTCAACGTTATCTGCAGAATAACTCTCAAGTCTGCTCACATTCCCCCACGAGCACTTTAGCCCAAATCAGCACCATCTCTTGTCCTGATCTGTCTCCTTTGTTCCTCGCCGTGACACACCCTTTTGAAAAAGACGTGCCCACGTTCCACCTGCCTCTGTTTCCCTCCACGGGGCCACGTCCCAGCACCCCTTCCATTTGTGCCTGGTTAGGGGTCCTCACTCTTCAGTCCCCACGCCAGTGTCTGCTCTGCCGTGTGCGTCACAGCCGTGCCAGTGCGTGTCATCACCTGGCCCTCCATCTCCCTGCCGCACGCTCAACTCCATGAGAGGGAACCGCATCTCCTCTCACTCATCCTTGTATTCGGGTGCCTAGCACAATGCCCAGAAATGTCACACGCCAGATAAATATTTGTCAAAGGGAATGAATAATGAATGAGCAAACTCAGAGTTATTTGCTAAAATTAGTTTATTATACTGGACTAAATCATACACTTTCAAACGTGTAACCAAGATGTTGGACAAGCAGGACTCCTGGAACAGACTTGGAAATCACCTCTTCCTTACCTTTGTGGCTCCCTGAGATATATTCAGTGGATGCTGTCCTATTTCTGCCCTTAGGTATAAATTTGAACAGCTCTGTGACACTCTGGCTCAAACACAGAAAATTTAAAAGTTCAATAGTTACGCTAAGATATACACCAGCATCAATCAGCCATTGTAAGTGTTCAGACTGTGAAGTAATTAAAACTCCACAAAACATTTCCCTTTTCCCTGCGGGAGCAGCCTGGGGAAGGAGAGAGCATGGCCGAATCTTCTCTGGGTTTCTCCTCCCTGCACCCTCAGAGGTGCTGACTGGGGCCTGGCCTCTCCCACGTGGTAACAGATCCCCCAGAACAAAGTCAAACCCCAAGCCACTATGTCGACAACACCAGCTGTCTTGGGTAAGTGGTGTCACACAGGATGTGCCCTTTGGGGGATGGCTTGTTTCCCGTAGCATGATGTCCTCAAGGTTTATCCATGACCTAGCATGTGTCAGAACCTCCCTCTTCCTTTCCATGCTGAATAGTATTCCATCATGTGTACAGACCACACTTGCTTATCCATTCATCTGTCAATGGCCATGTAAAAGAAAATAAAAATTTCAGACTCCCTCCCACTGCCATACAAAAGGGAAGGTAAAGGCCTCGGGCACCTGTGAAGAGCTGGCCCCACAGGTCATTCATTAAGGAAATTCCTTGCTGACTTCCTATGAGCAAGGACATGCAATGTGCAACTTTAGGTCTCCAGGCTATGTCTAGTTCTGAAATCGATTGCACTACAAGTTTATCTTTGCAGGTGTGGGACAGAGGCAAGACAGGATCATTCTCCCACCCACCCAGGGGCATCTGCATAATCGATGCTTCCTTCACTCCCTTTTTCTCTCTTAACATTTGCCTTATCTTATGTGAAATGTAGATTTCCTGGGTCTCACAAGAATGTAACACTGTCTCCCCACCATCCTCTCTGATTTATTTTCCTGTGTGCCCTACTCCCTTCAATACTGAAACCTCCGAACTCCCCTTAGGGAAAACAGCCACAGATTTGTCTGGTTTGTGTTTTTCCCAGGTGCTCCCTCAACGTTGGCTTAATAAACGTCCACTGATGGAGATATTTGCCTCGGCCACTTATATCTGGTTGTCAGACTTGGGCTGTTTCTGACTTTTGACTATTGTAAATAACTCTACTCAGAACAGGGCTGTACAAATACCTTTTAATTCCTTGCTTTCGATGCTTTTGGGTGTGTACCCACAAGTGGGATTGCTAGATCCTATGGTAGTCAGTCCTGTCTTTAATTATTTGAGGAACCTTCATCCTGTCTTCCACAGTGGCCACAGCATCTTCTGTTCCCACCAGCAGTGCTCTCTACATCCTGGCCAACAGTTGTTATTTTCTTGTTTTTGGATAACAGCCCATCTAACAGGTGTGAAGTGGTTGCCAGGTCTCCTGTACACCAGCTTGGGAGCGTCTCAGCACCATTTCCACCACATTCTAGTATCCAAGGCAAGTTCCAAGGCCAGCTGGGATTCAACATCAGAGGAAACAGACTGGAGAGACATGCAAGGGTAGAAAGAATTGTCAGAGGCTGTCTTTGGAAACTACCTACCAGAATTTTATATATTTTCTGTGGGATCTTTGTAGATTTGACTAATAGAAGTTCCCTTCTATTCCTGATTTGCTAAAAGTTTTATCGTAAAAGCAAATGCTTTTTCTGCATCTACTGAGACAATCCCGTGGTTTTTCTCCATTTTTTTAATGTGGTAAATTACACTGAGTAATTTAAGTCAATTTGCATTCCTGGAATAAACTCAATTTAATCATGGTTTATCCTTTTTTAAATCTCTAGATTTAATTCATTAATATTTTTGTATCTGTGTTCAATAAAAGAAGTTGATCTACAATATTTCTTTCATGCAATGTCCCTGTCACGAAGCTGATGAAATGAATTGGGAAATGATACCCTCTTTCTATTCTTGGGAAGAGGTTATTTAAGACTGGAGTTATTTATTAAAGGTTTGAAGTATTAGGTTAATAAGTTTGAAACATCCAATTTCCTTAAATACTAAGTTTGACAGTTAATACCTTTGACATTTTACTTAGACACTTCTTGTTTTATTTTTATTATGAAGGTACATCCTCAGTCTTTCAAACACATGGTTTGGCTTGTGATTATGTGTCGGATTTTTTTTAGAGCAATTTTTGTGAAACCATGGATAAGTCAAAAATTTGTGTTATTTTTGAATATGAGTTCTGTCGTGGAACCAATGCAGCACAGACAGCTCAAAATATCAATGAAGTGTTTGGGAAGGATGTGGCTAATGAACATACAGTACATGGATGGTTTGAGAAATTCCATTCTGGTGATTTTAATCGTGAAAATGAGCCACATGGGCAACCTGAGACCAAGGTGGAGAATGATGGGCTGAAAGCTGTAGTGCAAGCAAATCCATCTCAACCTATGCATGAATTAGCAGCAAGGTTTGATGCTACTATTCCAACAATATTGGACGATTTGAAACAAACGGGCAAGGTAAAGAAGCTGGATACATGGGATCTGCATGAATTAAGCAAGCATCAGAAGAGAAATTGTCTTGAAGCTTGACTTTCTCTGCTATTACGATATAAAGGTGAACCATTTCTACACCATACTGTTAACGTGATGAAAAATAGATTCTTTTTGACAATTGCAAGCATTTGGCACAATGGTTGGATAAAGATGAAGTGCCAAAACACAGTCCAAAACCGAATATTCATCAAAAAAAGCGAATGGGGTCTGTTTGGTGGTCCAGTGCTGGTATTATCCACTACAGCTTCATGAATGCTGGTCAATTGATTACGGCGGATGTCTTGCAACCAGTTGGAGGAAATGATGAGAATGCTTGCAATTAAGCAGCTGAGATTGGTCAACAGACACAGGCCAATTCTCTTGCAAGATAATGTTCGACCACATCACACAAACAACGCTGCTCAAACTACAGAGGCTGGACTTGGAAACTGTCATCCACTGTATTCAGCAGACCTTGCACCAGCTGACTACTACTTCTTCCTGGCTTTGGACCATTTCTTGAAAGGAAAAATATTCAATTCTCAACAAGCTATGGAAAACGCCTTTGGTGATTTTATCACCACTCACTGTCGAGGCTGCTTTGATGCTGGCCTAAACAAGCTACCATTAAGATGGCAACACTGTGTCAGTAGTTTAGACGCATACTTTGATTAATTGTGCTGCTTCTTGTTTGAGATGTAATAAACTTTTGCTTTGAAATAGAACACTTCATATTTAATATGAAAATTAATATTTGCCAGTAAAGCTATCTGGGCCTCTGGCCTGCACTGTGGGAAGCTTTCAAATTACAAATTCGATTTCTTTAATAGGCATGAGGTGCCTCAGGTTTTCTATTTCTTCTTGTCTTAGTTTTAGGAAATTCTATTTTATTCTTTTGAACAAATGCTTGGCTTTGTTGATAGTCTCTATGGTATATTTGTTTTTCTACTTCATTAATTTCTGTATTTACCTTTATTATTACCTCTCTTTTGATGTATTTAGATTTAAGTGTCTGCATATTTTGCTATTGAAAAAAATCAACATTTTTGACTCTTGATAGGCAACTAGAATCAATAATAACGGCATTTGTGGAATTACAGAAAAACACCTGATGTCAATTTGATTCTTGTTCCTTTGAAGGCAATCTGTTCTTTTCCTTTGTCTGTGACTCTGTCTTTGACAGTCTTACATCTCACAACAGCTTGATGCTGGGTTTCTCCTTCTCTCTCCTCTTTGGCACTCTGTGTGTCCTTCGATCTGAAGATCTTTCATTTTTAACTCTGGAAGATTTGTCCTCCTTACCTCCTCAAATATTTTCTATTTCCATTTTTATTTTCTGGAACACCTATTAAGCAGGTATTAGCATTTCTGCTTCTGTCTGTATCCCTCACCCTTTCTTCTACACATTCTTGCTCCTGTCTCACATCAGTAAGATAAAGAACTTTCTCTCTTTTATAGACAAGTCTTATTTGTTTTACTGTATCAGTTCTTCTGTTCCATTGCTCCTGCTTCTATAATCCAGTTTGTTCATTTCCATGCAGCCTGGCAGTATATCCTGGGAAAGGGACAGGAGGCCCTACTGGCTCTGAATACTCAGCAGCTGTCCCGTGATCCAGGCACCTCCCTGCACTGTCAGTACACAGCCCCTCCTCCTGCCCCTTTACAATCACACCCACCCATCCCCAACCCTCGGAGACCAGAGATCTGTTCTCCTTCTAATTATGTTATTTCATGGATGTTATGTAAATGAGACCACAAAATAACCTTTTTGAAATTTGGTTTTACATTCGGCATAGTCTTTTAGAAATTCAACCAAGGTGTTGCAAGGATCAGCTGTTTCCTTTTTATGTCAGTAGAATTGTGCTGTCTGATCTCCAGCCCTGTTGTCTCTGTTGCTGATTTTTAGTTTGACGCCACTCTTGTTAGAGAACATGCTCTGTAGGATTTAACTCTTCTACATTTGCTAATGTTCTATGACTCAGGGCATGGTCTGTCTTTGTATCTGTTTTGTGGGCACTTGGAAAGATGTGAATTCTGTTGCTGTCGGTGCAGTTCTGTATATGTCCATTAGATGCCACTGGCTGAGGCTAGAGTCCTACTATATCCTGCTGACCATGTCCAGGAGATCTAGAACTGCTGAAGGTGGGAGCCCACGTCCTCAACTGCACTGGCAGACTTGTCTCTTTCTCCTCTCAGCTGTCAGTTTTTGCCTTATGTATCTTGAAGTTTTGTTGTTTGGTGTGTACGTATTTGGGATTGCTGTATCTTCCTGAGTTGGTTATTTTGTCACCGTAGACATTCAGTTGGGTCAAGCTTTATCTACTCTGCCAATCTCTGTCTTCTAGTTGGTGTGTTTAGGCCATTTACATGTAAATTAAATATATTAGGGTTTATATCTGCCACTTTATTATTTGCTTTTTGTTTGTTCCCTCCCCCATGCTTTGCTGTGGGAGGGATATTTAGACATTTTTTAGAATTCCACTTCATAATGGTTTCCAGTACTTCACTATGCGTAGTCTCCTTAGCAGCTGCTCTAGATACCACCACATATGCACGGACCTCATCAGTCTGTTGGTGTCAACACTTCACCACTTCAAGTGCGGTGTGGAAACCTTACTTTCACTTAAGCCCCTTACCCTTCTCATGTTTTAAATATATTTGTTATAAATATTTCCTCCTCCACCTACACCAAGCCCCATATCACTGTTGTAATTTTGGCTTCAACCATCAAATATGATTAAAGAAACTCATGAGGTGAGGGATGGTCTATTTCTCACATTCCATTTTTCTTCTGTAGTTTCTGAGAGTCCCAGTCTGCCTGTTAGAATTTCTTTCTTTCTTTTTCTTTTTTTTTTTTGAGACAGAGTCTCGCTTTGTTGTCCAGGCTAGAGTGAGTGCCGTGGTGTCAGCCTAGCTCACAGCAACCTCAAACTCCTGGGCTCAAGCAATCCTTCTGCCTCAGCCTCCCGAGTAGCTGGGACTATAGGCATGCGCCACCATGCCCGGCTAATTTTTTCTCTATATATTAGTTGGCCAATTAATTTCTTTCTATTTATAGTGGAGACGGGGTCTTGCTCTTGCTCAGGCTGGTTTCGAACTCCTGACCTCAAGCAATCCGCCCGCCTCGGCCTCCCGGAGTGTTAGGATTACAGGCGTGAGCCACCTCACCCGGCCCTAGAATTTCTTTGTTTAGAGAGATTTCTTCAGGCCTTCCTGAAGGTAGGTCTGGTAGCAACAAATTCTATCAGTCTGCTTCTGTTTGAGACCATCTTTACTCTTTCATTACTGAAGGGCGGCTTTGCTGGATAGAGGGTTCACAGCTGACAGCTCATTACTTTCCACACTTGAAAAATGGCTTTCACTTCCTTCTGACTTCTGTGGTTTTGGAGAAATCTGCTGTCATTCAAATTGGTATTCCTCTGTTAAGTAGTATGTTGGTTCTGTCTGGCTGTAATAGTTTTTCCTCTGTCTTTAGAATTCAAAAGTTTAATGATGGTGTGTTTTAGCGTGGACTTTTGGGGGACTTATCATACCAGGGCTTGCTCAGTGCTTTTTTGTTTTGTTTTGTTTTTTGAGACAGAGTCTTGCTTTGTTGCCTAGGCTAGAGTGAGTGCCGTGGCATCAGCCGAGCTCACAGCAACCTCAATCTCCTGGGCTCAAGCAATCCTGCTGCCTCAGCCTCCCGAGTAGCTGGGACTACAGGCATGCGCCACCATGCCTGGCTAATTTTTTCTATATATATATTAGTTGGCCAATTAATTTCTTTCTATTTTTATAGTAGAGACAGGGTCTTGCTCTTGCTCAGGCTGGTTTCGAACTCCTGTCCTCGAGCAATCCACCCGCCTTGGCCTCCCAGAATGCTAGGATTACAGTTGTGAGCCACCGTGCCCGGCCACAGTGCTTTTTATTTTAAGAGACAGGGTCTCCCTCTGTCATTCAGGCAGCTGTGCAACAGCGTCATCATAGCTCATTGCAGCCTTGAACTCCTTGGCTTGACAGATCCTCCTGCCTCTGCCTCTTGAGTTGCTGGGAATACAAGCATGAGCCACAGGGCCAAGCTAACTTATTTTTTTCGTAGAGACAGGGTCTCACTATGTTGCACAGGCTGGTCTCAAACTCCTGAGCTCAAGTGATCCTCTCATCTTGGCCTCCTAAAATGCTAGGATTACAAACATGAGCCACTGTGCCTGGCCTCAGCTTCTTGATTCTGTGGGTTTATGTCTTTCACTGAATTTGGGACATTTTCAGCCATTATTTCTTCAAATATTTTAGTCCCACAAACTTTCTCTTCTTGTTCTAGGAAGCTGGTGATACACAGGTCTCTGAGACTCTGCCCATTCCCTTGGTCTGTTTTCTTGCTGTGGCCAGGTAGAGTAAATTCTATAGCACTATCTTCAGCTCCAGGATGATCCCACCATCTATGCTGACCACTGTGTCCCCCCAGAGGACATGCTATTATTTTGGTTATTGTATTTCTCAGTTTTATAACTTCCACTTGGTTCTTTTCATAACTTTTATTTCTTTGCTGATGTAAAAGAATTTTTACATTTTGTTTCATTTGTTTTTCATTTGTTTCAAATGAAACACATTTTTTCATTTGTTTTGAAAAATTATAATTACTTTTTGAAGCACTTTTATGACTATTTTAATACCCTTGGCAGATGATTCCAACATCTGGTCCACCCCGGCACTCATGTCACTTAACTGTCCTTTCATGTTCAACTTGTAGTTTTCCTGGTTCTTGGTATGACAAGTGATTTTCAAATGTATCCTGGACATCTGGGTTATTATGTGTGGAGACTTCTGGTTCTACTTAAATCTTCTGTTTTAGCAGGCAGCCACCCTGTTCAGGTTTAGCGTAGTTTGCGCCCACCTTTGTGGTCTGTGGTTCCAATGACCGTTTTGTCTTCAGAGCCCTTGCACTGCCCTCTGGGTTGCTTTATGGGCATGGTTAGAGCTGCTGCTCAGTCCCTGCTGGTGCCGTCTGCAGAGTTGGAAGGCACCTCCCTGGGCCACCTGGTGTTGCTGGGCCACCTTCTGCTGTGGTGGGAGTGAGGTAAATGCTCTGCCTGGGCCGCCTTCTTCCACCAGGAGGAAGGTCAGAAGATTTCAGGCTCCACTGGCACCCCAGTCATACAGCAAGGGTTGGGTGGGCCTACAGGGGTTCTGAAGCTGTCCTGAGGCAGACAGTGGAGGGGAGGGGTGAGTTCCCCACTGTACTTCTTTTTTTTTTTTTTTTTTTAAGAGGAAATGAAGTCAGAAGCCACTGTACTTCTGAGGGACATCCCCGTTCCCAGTGCTCTAGCCAGAAAGAGAAGACCTTCCCTGAAAATTCGTCTATGCCTATTGGCTGTTCTGGGTTGCAGGCCTCTTTGGTGCCTAATCCAGGAGCATATAAGAGAGAAGAAGAAAGCCCAGAGAACCCAGTGCAATGCTGTCCCTCCAGTCCTGAGATCCCCAGCCAGTCTGTCTTCTCACTTCCAATTCTCAGGATTCTTTCCTCGTTGTCTATTGAATTACGTGAAGGGTATTTATTTGTACTTCAACAGAAGCAAGGAAAAGTGAATCCCCACCATCCTAACCTAAGTAGTCACCATCTCTCATCTGGACTGCCGCCATAGCCATCCAAGGGGCTCCCTCCCAACTCATCACTCAATGGTGGCCAAAGGAGTCCGTGAAAAGTGAACACCTGATCTTGCCAATGTGCCCATCTTAAAACCTGAGGCCCCCATTGTTTTAAGTCCAAGACCCTGTGGGCTGGCCCCACCTATCTCACCACTCCCCGCCTGCTCCCCCACAAGAAGCTTTTATCTTCTGGAGCAGTGTCCCTTGTTCCTTTCCTAGAGCTGATCTAACAAATACAGAATGGGTGGCCTGAACAACAGACATTTACTTCTCACAGTTCTGGAAGCTGAAAGTCCAAGATCGGGTGTGGGCAAGGCTGGCTCCTCCTGAGACCTCTGTCCTTGGCTTGTAGACAGCCGTTTCATGTTCACATCGCATTCTCCCTGTGCACGTTTCCAAAATTCTTCCTTTTTATGAGAACAGCAGTCATATTACATTAGTGCCCACCTTAATGTCCTCATCTTAACTTGGTTACATCTGCAAAGACACTGTCTCCTATAACAGTCACATTTCAAGGACTGGGATTAGGACATCGACATAGGAGCCTATAATAACTCCCACCACAGGGCCTTTGCCCACACTGTTCCCTCCCTCTGCAACTGTCTCCACCTCTCGCCATTTCACCTGGTTAACTACTACTTATTCTTATTTCACTTCTGTTGTCAGTTGCTACTGGAAGCCTTACAAGCCTGTATCAATCTCCTCTGACATTCACTGTTATGATCACTATGGCTGAACATTTATTAATGTGATTTTTGCATTAAGAGCTTATCCCCTCCTGCAAGGCCACAAGATCTGTGAGTGCAGGGACCTCAGTCAGTGCCGGGTCAAACAAACGCCTGTAGGAGGAAAATTGAATAAGGTCACGCAATGCTACCCTACAGCATTTGAAAAACACAATGCTCACCTGTTAACACCACCGTTTTGCAAAACAAACGTCAACAACAAAAAAGAAGTGCCAAATTCAAAATAAGGCTCACTTCTTAAAATCAGGGGCGTTTTGCTTTTTGAAAACTCACTAAGGACACTGCCCCTGGCGGCGAGGCCGTGGGCAGCCCGGCTGGCGGCGGGCTCTGGGGTCCTGCCTGGGCTCCAGCCGGCTCGACTTCTCCCGGGCATGAGCGGGATCCGAGCCGCGGGACAGACCCTTCGTCCTGGAGCTGCCGAGTGGCACGGAGAAGAACACTCCCCAATCCCGACCACTCTGGCGACCCCGCAGAAGTCCTGGGCCCCTCCACGAACGCCGAGACCGGAAGTCCCCGCCCCACCCCCCCGGCAGCCGCGCGGAGCGCCGGAAGTCCAGCCGTAAACCGCGCCGCGCCGTCGCGAAAGCACCGGTTCCCGGGGTGACCGGAGACGCGGAAGATGGCGGCGCCGGCGCTGGCGGAGGCCGCGGGCCCGGCGGAGGCTGCCGAGTCGGCGGAGGCGGCGGAGCTGAGCCGCGCCCTGAGCCGCCTGCTGCCAGGGCTGGAGGCCGACAGCAAACCGGGCCGGCGGCGCGCGCTGGAGGCCCTGCGGCGCGCGCTGGAGGAAGCAGGACCCGCCGCTGACCCTGCTGCCTTCCAGGGCCCCTGGGCGCGCCTGCTGCTGCCGCGCCTGCTGCGCTGCCTGGCCGACCCGGCCGAGGGCTGCCGCGCGCTGGCCGCGCACCTGCTGGACCTGGGCCTGCGGCGCGCCGCGCGGCCCCGAGACGCCCTGCCGCGCCTGCTGCCCGCGCTCGCCGCGCGCCTGGCCGGCCCTGAGCCCGCGTGCCGGCTGCAGCCTGAGGCGTGCGAGGAGCTGCGCCTGGCGCTGGTGCAGCTGCTCGGCCTGGCCGTGGGCCTGGGCGGCTCGGCGCTCGCGCCCCACCTGGACGACGCGGTGCGCGTGTTGCGCTGCACGCTGCTCGACCCCTTCGCAGCCGTGCGCCGCGAGAGCTGCCAGTGCGCCGCCGCATTGGCGCGCGCCACGCCGGGTGAGCGCCCCCAGCCCCTCAGCCCGCGTCCCCAACCTTCTCACCCGCGCCCGTTTGCCCCCGCTCCCCCAGTCTTCCTCGCTCAGGCGCACGCGCTGGTGCTCCCCTCCCCAACCCCCACCGTTGCCTGTGTTCAGATTCCTGGAAACACCTCAGTTCAAACTTATTTTGAACTGGTTGGGGTGGGATGTGCTCTGGTAGCTGCCACTCGCTGGGGTGATTTTCATCCTGGTGGTTGCAGCAACACCACACGCTTTGAGAAACTCCGCCCCAATCAGTTCAGTGCTTTTTATCCCTGTTTCTGTACCCGAGTAGGCCTCTCTTCCCTCATCTGGCCTTGACTGCTGTCCTTTAGCAAGGGAAGCCGCTTCTCTCCTGCACTTTAATCCACTGCCATCATTTTAAAAGCTCTTATCCGACTAGGACATTCCTTTTTCCTAAGTGGCCACTTCTGAAGGTCTTGCTCCAGTTCCCTCTCTCTGCTCTCAGGCTGGATGTGGAACGATAAGAAGCACCTACTTAGTCCTGGCAGGAAGGCTTCAGGGAGGAGGGAACAGCTGAAAGCTGGTCAGATCAGAGGAGCAGGAAAGGAGGGAGGGAGAGGTTGTCAGGGGCGGGCGGTGGGTAGTGCCACCATGGTAAGGTTTGGATTTAGCAGGAAATGCAGAATTGTGTTGAGAAGAGAGAACTCAGGTCTGGGGTTTTAAAAGTTCACTGGTGCTATGTGGAGAATAGGTTGTAGAGGTGGCAAGAGAGGGAATGAGGGAGTCATTGGGGCTGTTATTAATCCATATTTTGAGTGATGGCTTGGACATGGGGCAGGAGAGCCTGCTAATAGAGGCGGAGGAAAATGAACAGGTTAGGGACATTTTGAAGATAGGACTGACAGGACTTCATTGAATTGGGTGAGAAGTGAGGAAGGAGATCTGGTGTGGACAAGGATCTTATCCATTCAGGATAAGATCACAGTTCCCATTTTGGTTATGTTAATTTTGGATTTCAGATAGTCCAGAACTCTAGTGGAGTTTGGAGGAAAGGGCTTGGGCTGGAGATGGCCATTAGAAACTCCACACAATGCATTTCTCATCACCGTCATCCATCTCTTTCCCTGCCCCCTTGGGGTGCTTCTCATTCTTTGGTGTGTGTGGGGGTACTCCCAGCCTTCCATGTTCCCTATCTGCTGGACTGTATGTTCTGTATGGGCAGGACTGTGCCTGAATGTGCCCCAGCCATGTGGTGGGTGTTCACCAATGCCTTGTGGAGTGGAAGACTGTTTCTTCAGCTTGAAGCATCTCCCCATCCCAACACTGTCCCCCCTGCCCCTCCTCTTTCCTGGGTGGCAGACCTCCTCTGGCCCCCATCACACTAGGTAGTAGCTGCCTGTGTCTGAGGACTTGAGAGGTTAAAGAACTTACCAAAGCATCATTGAAATAGCCATTTCATAGACAGGTCCCAAGTAGTGTAGCCCTGAGGCCAGAACTCCAAAACAAGATGGTCAGCCTGGCTCTCACAGAGACCCTTCTGATTCTGATTTCCTGTGAGAACTGTACAAATAGGAGTGACATTGCTTAGAGTGGTGCTGGTCCAATTTCCAGGAGTTCCAGTATTTGGCTTCAGGTGTATCTGCGAGTGAGCACATGCTCAGTGTCCTGGGCTCATCTTCTTTCTTTTGGCCACTGTCCCTTTCAGGCCCCCACCATAGCCATCAACAGACTCAGGCTCTCCCTCTGCAGCTCCCGTCCTCAGCTGCAGTGGGGTCCTGCTCCCAGTCTTTCCCTTTGGTCTGTCTCTCCACACCTTTGAGGCATAGAGATGCCATCCCTGAACCTTTCCCTGTGCCAAGAGACTCGAAGCTTTGCTTGGCAGCCTTGGTCGTGTGCTGTTCCTTGGCAAGGGCCTAAGTGGGAGAGGAAGAGAGTGAGAAGGTCACAGGGGCTGGTGGCCGGTCCTGGAAGCCCATAGAGCTGGGCCTGGGGTGAGGTACATGGGAGAAACTCTGGTGATCCGTGGCTTCCCTGTCCCACAGACCACTTCCACATGCAGTCAGAGTCTCTGATCGGCCCTCTCATGCAGACCATCTCCCACCAGCACTGGAAGGTCCGGGTGGCTGCCATCGAGGCCACAGGCACTGTGATCCAGTTCGGCAATGGGAAGTCTGTGGACGATGTGCTCTCGCACTTTGCTCAGCGGCTCTTTGACGACGTCCCACAGGTAACGAGCCTTTCTCTCCTGGACGGTCTGTTCCTGTCTCCACCAGAAGCATGCCGACCTACTATTTTTAACTAACGCACTTGCTTTTTCTTTTTTTCAAGATGTTACATGTACCAAATGTCCTTTCCTCATTCTCAGTCACAAGATGTTCCTGTTTCACATCTTTGAAAAGCTATGAGGGAGCTGAGTTGTTTTAAAACATTTGTTATTCTCGATTCCAAGGAATGCAGGAAAGGATTATTTCTGTAATTGTGGTAACTTAGAAGGAAAAAAAATCTAAACCATGTGTACTTATCAGTTTGCAGAAGTATCTTTAACATGCCCATTGGTCACGGCACGTTTGCTGAAAAGCAGTGGTTGCTGGACCTGGTATAGGAGGGGACTCGGCACAGACACCTCACGTTGCTGGGCTTTGGAGCCTGCAGAGGGACACACAGGCTGGAGTCTGACAGACGGACGTCAGAACACTGGCTTTGCTGCTGGCAGAATCTGGCTTGGAAGGGGTGTCTTATATCTGAAGCCCCATGCAGTGCTGAAACTTCACAAGCCATGACCATGGGGGAGCAGTTGCCCCCAGGTCACTAAGGATGCGTGACCCCTCATCTGTCTCTGTGAATTTACCTATTCTAGGTATTTCACGTAAGTGTAATTGTATAGCGTGTGATCTTTTGTGTCTGGCTTATTTCACTTCGCACGATGTGTCCAGTGTTTGTCTACCTTGTAGCAGATGGCAGACTTTGTTCCTCTTTGTGGCTGAATAGGATTCTCTTGTACGTGGGATACCCTGTGTTTATCCATTCACCTGTGGGTGGACATTGGGTCGTTTCCACCTGTTGGCTACTGTGAACAGTGCTGCTGTGAACAGGTGTGTACAAGTCTCTATTTAAGTCCTGCTGTCACTTCTTCAGTGTATGCCTGGGAGTGGAATTGCTGGGTCATGTGGTGACTCCACGTTCAACTTTTTGAGGAGCCACCAAGTGTTTTCCATGGTGGCCACTGTTTTACTTCTCACCAGCAACCTACTGGGGTCTAAATGTCCGCATCCTGCCAGTGCATGTCACTTTTCATTTGTCGTTATAGCCATCCTCGCGGGTGTGAGGTGGTGTCTCAATGTGGGTTTGGTTTGCATTTCCCTAGTGATTAGTGATGTTCCCAATTATACAGGAACGTTAAGAGGAAGAAAACTTGGGCTACAATAAGAACAGTTTTCTCTCCACTCCATGCTGAGGAACTGGAGGAAGTGATTGACTTGCTTTGACCTCAGGACTGGAGCTTGAGGTGGGTTCCCTGTGGGGAAATAGTGTGAACAAGGTTGCAGGTATCACTCAGGGCTTTTGGGGCCAGCACAGTAGCCCGACTCAGTTACCCGTGCAGGGGCCGGCTCCAAGTGTGGCACAGCACCTGCTGGGGACATCTGCTCTGCCTCCATTGCTGTGCTTCGTCCCCAGGCCCGCCCTCCAGGTGCAGTGGGAGCTGCCCCGAGACAGGGGTCCTCGGCCAGGAGCCTCATGGGGCCAGCTGAAGTGGAGTTTGACTGTGTGTGCCAGCGGGCCCCCCCTGGAGCCGAGGCAGAGTCCCCACAGGGCAGCACAGAGGGGACCCTGAAGCAGGGGCTCTGCCTAGGGAGGAGGCAGTGGGTACAGACCAGCACCCACACTGCCTGGTGGTGTGACAAGGCTTCCACCACTAGCTCAAGGTTGGGCTGCAGAGGGCAGCTCCAGGAAGGGCAGGCAAGAACAGACCCCAGCGAGAAGCGACAGTACGGCAGTGCCCAGGGCACTTTCTGGCCTTCTGTAACCTGAGGTAGGTCATGGCTGACAAGAAAAGTGGTTTCTTTGTGTTGTAGGCCAAGCCTTATTCCTCAGAAAGTGTAATGACTCTGTCTGGAGAGCTCTCCGTGTCAGTGGCTATCTGTAAATGCCATAACTGTATCAATAGCTAGCAATCAATACAAACAGTGTACCTCAGTATCAATACAAACAGTACTACGACTCTATCCACAGCTACCTGTAAATACTGTAACATCTTTAGCTATCTGTAAGGTACTGTTGAAAAGTGTCTTGCGGGTTATTCAAACACATCAGGTGCTAGATAAAAAGCTTT